TTTATGCATGTCCGTCCGTCCGTCCGTCTGTCCGTCTGTCTGTCTGTCCATGTTAAATTGTAAACAAAGTACAGGTCGCATTTATGATCCGAATTGAATGAAATTTGGTATAGGTCACTTATTCGGCCCAAGGACGAACCCTATTGAAATTGGGAAAAATCGGTTCAGATTTAGATATAGCTCCCATATATATATTTAACCGATTTAATGTAAACGGCCCCTATATATCTTTCGATTTGCACGAAATTTGGTACAGCTTAATCATTTAGGTCTAGAATGATGTCTGCCAAGTTTCGTGAAAATCGGTCCAGATTTAGATATAGCTCCCATATATAGTTTCGTCCGATTTCATGTATATGGTGCCCCAAAGTTCCTATATATCTTTTGATTTGCACGAAATTTGGTATAACGTACTGAATTAAGCCTAGAGTGATGTCTGCCAAGTTTGGAGAAAATCGGTCCAGATTTAGATATAGCTCCCATATATAGTTTCGTCCGATTTCATGTAAAAGGTGCCCCAAAGTCCCTATATACCTTTCGATTTGCGCGAAATTTGGCATAACGTACTGAATTGAGCTTAGAATGATGTCTAACAAGTTTGGAGAAAATCGGTCCAGATTTAGATTTAGCTCCCATATATAGTTTCGTACGCTTTCATGTAAATGGTGCCCCAAAGTCCGTATATATCTTTTGATTTGCACGAAATTTGGCATAACGTACTGAATCAAGCCTAGAGTGATGTCTGCCAAGTTTGGAGAAAATCGGTCCAGATTTAGATATAGCTCCCATATATAGTTTCGTCCGATTTCATGTAAATGGTGCCTCAAAGTCCCTATATAACTTTCGATTTGCACGAAATTTGGCATAACGTACTGAATTAAGCCTAGAGTGATGTCTGCCAAGTTTGGAGAAAATCGGTCCAAATTTAGATATAGCTCCCATATATAGTTTCGTCCGATTTCATGTAAATGGTGCCTCAAAGTCCCTATATAACTTTCGATTTGCACGAAATTTGGCATAACGTACTGAATTGAGCCTGGAATGATGTCTACCAAGTTTCGAGAAAATCGGTCCAGATTTAGATATAGCTCCCATATATAGTTTCGTACGATTTCATGTAAATGGTGCCCCAAAGTCCCTATATATATTTTGATTTGCACGAAATTTGGCATAACGTACTGAATTAAGCCTAGAGTAATGTCTGCCAAGTTTGGAGAAAATCGGTCCAGATTTAGATATAGCTCCCATATATAGTTTCGTCCGATTTCATGTAAATGGTGCCTCAAAGTCCCTATATAACTTTCGATTTGCGCGAAATTTGGCATAACGCACTGAATTGAGCCTAGAATGATGTCTACCAAGTTTCGAGAAAATCGGCCCAGATTTGGATATAGCTCTCACATATAGTTTCGTACGATTTCATGTAAATGGTGCCCCAAAGTCCCTATATAACTTTCGATTTGCACGAAATTTGTCATAACGTACTGAATTGAGCCTAAAATGATGCTAAGTTTCGTGAAAATCGGTCCAGATTTAGATATAGCTCCCTTTTATTATAGATTGATTTTAAGTAATTGACGTACTAAGGAACCAATAGAAACAAAACGTTCTGAAATTAGTATAACCTAACCTGTGACAAGTTTGTTTGAAATCGCTTAATATTTGGATAGAGCTTCCATATATATTTTCGACCGATTTCAAGTAAATTGGGCATCAGACTCCTCATGTTAGTCAGATTGACATCAAATTGTGCACAACGCACAAAATTGAGCATACAATTACGTAGTTGCGTTTTCTAGAAGTACAGACATAGCCCAACGGACTTATTTATATTTGTTTGAAGTCGATTAACATACTTTATGGATAGATCTAGGTAGATTCACATTTAGATAAATATTACTTTTTTTCATCCAATTACATGTTAATAGTCCTGTTTAATATACCCATAGTGGTGAAGGGTATCATATAGTCGGCCCCGTCCGACTTTACTACTTTCCTTACTGGTTTTTAAGCTCGGCTTATGAAACAATCGTTTTGTAACAAGCCAGCTAAGTAAGTATATCTAAATCTGAACCGATAAATCGACTTAGAAAGTGATTCTAAGCATATGGGAATCTCTGAAAAAGTGTTTTTAAAAAATCCACGCCTCAGTGGTTGCTGAAAAAGTATTTTTAAAAAATCTACGTCCTTGAAAAAGTATTTCTAAAAAAATCCACGCCTCCGTAGGTCCTTGAAAAAGTATTTCTAAAAAAATCCACGCCTCCGTAGGTCCTTGAAAAAGTATTTCTAAAAAATCCACGCCTCTGTAGGTCCTTGAAAAGTATTTCTAAAAAAATCCACGCCTCTGTATGTCCTTGAAAAAGTATTTTTCAAAAAATCCATGCCTCTGTAGGTCCTTGAAAAAGTATTTCTAAAAAAATCAACGCCTCTGTAGGTCCTTGAAAAAATATTTTTTAGAAAATCCACGTCCGTGTAGGTCCTTGAAAAATTATTTTTAAAAAATCCACGCCTCTGTAGGTCCTTGAAAAAATATTTTTAAAAAAATCCACGCCTCTGTAGGACCTTGAAAAATTATTTTTAAAAAAATCCACGCCTCTGTAGGTCCTTGAAAAAATATTTTTAAAAAATCCACGCCTCTGCACGTCCTTGAAAAAGTATTTGTAAAAAAATCCACGCCTCTGTAGGTCCTTGAAAAAGTATTTTTAAAAAATCCACGCCTCTGTAGGTCCTTGAAAAAGTATTTCTGAAAAAATCCACGTCCCTGTAGGTCCTTGAAAAATTATTTTTAAAAAAATCCACGCCTCTGTTGTCCCTTGAAAAAAGTATTTTTATTTTTTTATTTAAATATTTTGGAAATTTTTTTTTTTTAGTTATTTTTTTTTTGCTTTCTTGTGCCTTTCCTTTTCCCTTTCCCTTTCCCATTTTCTTTTTTTTTGTTAATAAAACAAATTTTTATTTAAATTTTTTAAGAAATATATATTTTTTTCAAGTTTTTGATTTTGTTTCTTTTATTTAAATATTAAAACATAATTATTAAAAATAATAATAATAAAAATAAAATTAAAAAAAAAAAAATAATACAAAAAAATTAAAAAAATATTATAATAAAAATTATAAACTAAACACAAAACTAAGGGAGAATTGTACAAATGTGTTGGGTGGGTGTGTGTGTTTGTGTGTGAGGTGGTATGTGTGTCTAAGATGGGCGGGTGCAATGATCTGTGTGAACGAGTGTTAAGAAGTTGTGATAACTAAATGGTAAATGAAAAATAATTAAAAATTATTATTTAAAAAAAAATAATATAATAAAAACTATATATTACAATTATGAAATAATAAAAATAAAAATTTATTTTTATTAAGGTCTTCCTAAACTTCGTCACACAAATTTATAGGAAAAAATAATTATAATTATATTAATTACCAAAAAGGGGGTGTGGGCTGGGTGTGTGTATGTGTATGTGGGGTACTGGGAAATTTAATACAATTTGTTGTTTTGTTTTTTTTGTTTTTGTTTTTATAATGTAATGAAATAGCTTCTGTGTGTTTGTGGTTTTTAAGGGGGAGGGCTGTTGTTATTATAAAAAAAAATTATTTGTATAAATAAAAAAATATACATTTTATTTTCTCTTTTATTTTTTTGTTTGTTTTGCAAAATTTCTTCAAAAAAATTACATTTGTTTTGTAAAATAAAAAGAAATGTTATTGAAAGAAAAAAAAATTATATATATTATTTCATTAAATTATATTTTTAAAATATAATTATGAAATAATGTGTGTGTGTGTTTTTGTTTTTTTTTTTTTTTTTTGGAAAAATTTAACAACAATAATAATTATGTTTATATATTTATATATATAAATATGTATGGTATTTTTTTATGTATGTATAAACTATATTTTTATATATAGAAAAATGTTTGATATGATTTTTTGATTTTTGTTTTTTTAAATATGATATATATAAAGGAATTATGTGTGTATGTATGTATGGTTGTGTATGTGATATAATGTGGTGATTTGTGGATTAGTAAAAGAAATATAACACAAAAAATATTTATATATTTCTATATTTTTCGATTATTGAAGTTCTTGAGTGTATGGGGGGGAGTTGGGGGGAGCATTAAGTAAAATATTGAATTGTTTTTGTTTTGTTTGTTCATTAAATAATAATAATATGTAGGTATGTATGTATTTATGTATAACTCTTAAGCCTTACAAACTAAAGTTGCCATTCAGTCAATCAGTCGAAACTTTTGGGATGTGTTTCTATAAATATTTTTTTTTTAAATTTTTCACTTGAAAAAATATTAATTTTTCTTCTTAATTCTTTTTTCTTTCTTCTCAAAATTTTAAGAGAATTCTTTTTTTCGAAAATAATTATAGAAGAAAAATTAATATTTTTTTAAATTATTATCTACTGCACTGGTTTTTTTTTTTAAGTGTACTCTCGTTTAAATTTGTTTTTTTTTGTAGTTTCTTTTCTTTTTGTTTTTTTATAATACATATATAAGCTTTGTTTTCTTTCCTCTTCTAAAAAAACAACAATTTAAAAAAATATTCTAATTTTTTTCTGTGTAATTTCTAGGTGTTTTTCTTCAAACAGATTTCTGTCAGTGTAGTTGGTTGGTTGGCTTGGTTTTTTTATGTTCAGTGAAATGTAAAAACAATATTTCTCAACAAAATCTAAGAACACTGTTCCTAATTCTTTGCAGTAAGGTCACAGCCCTCACGCTCTCTCTCTCTGTCTCTCGATTTTCTTTTTTCACTCTCTCAGGTTGGCATTCTCATGTTTTGGTTATTGTCTTTACATTTCACTTCAAAATTATTGTGGTTCTGTTGTTTGTTTTGTTTTTTACATCCTCTCTCTCTTCATTTCATTTCTCTGACACACTCTCTCTCAGCCTCTCTTTTAACAAGAAATAAAAGTAGTTTTCCAAAAAAAGAGCTTTTCTTTTTTTTCATTGTTGTGGTGGTGTGGAGTGGTTGGAGAGTTGCGGAATTCAGCTGCTAACAGCGCCTTGGCGTTTGCTTTGCTGCTGTTGTTGCTGCTGATCGGTTCTTCGGTGATGTCTTCGTGGCCGTTTGCACTGGGCCGAACAACACTCATCCAGGGGGGCTGGTTCCGAACCCGGCTTTTCAAAGATTTTACGTTTCGATGAGCTGCGGGCCTGTTGGCAGGTGGAACGTGAGCAACGCTTGCGATCACAATTGACCTTGGAGTCCTAAAAAGAAGACAAATTTTCAATTAGTTTCAAATTTATAAAAAAATCTGTGTTATTTTTTTCGAACTTACCTTGCATCTACATTTAATGCATTTCTGTTCACCATGTGAGGCCAACACCGGATGCCATTCCTGACCATTCTCATAGAGTTTATTGACAACCTTGCAGCCACCCTGGGCCAAGATTTCCTCACTGCTTCGGACATTGGGTTTGAGCGGTGCCTGATCTTGCAGAACATTGGGATTTGAGGGACCCATTTTATCACCAGCCGTATTGGAAATTTTACCCTGGGGACAGACCTTGCAGCAGGCCTTCTTGTCGGGACGATAGGCTTCCTTTTCTTTGCACTTGAGGGGAGGGCACACCATACGAGGACATCTGATTTCCAAGGTCAAGGCATCACAGGTACAGGTGGTGCATGTATCGAAACCATTAGGTGGCAAGAAGGGATGCCATGTTGCACCGGCCACATGGAACTGATCTCCCAGGCGGCAACCCCGTTTCTGTTGTTGTTGCTCCTCAGCCTTGTTGCCTTTGACATTCTGTGGCACACACATGGCACAGCACTCACCCTCGGCCAACACCAATTCCTCATTTACCTTGCAGTGCACCACGGGACACTTGATCGGCTCACAGGTAGCATGTCCGCGTTGGCAGGCACACATCTGGCAGGTATCTTCCGTGCTGCGCCATTGTTCCGTCTCATCATAGAACCGCCCGGAGTGATAACACTTGGTGTCGGCTGTCATTAGCAAATCATCATTGCGATCACCGGGCAGGAAGACATTGGGCACATTGTTGTCCGTGTAAATGGGGAAGCAGTGGGCCGGCACTTTTGTGGATTTCAATTTGCCGCGCAGCAGCAATTCATTTTTCTCCTTGGAATGTACCTCCAGATAACAGACACTCGATTCCAATTTCACCAATTCATTGGAGGGCATGCCGAGAACAAAACCTTCCATATACGAACCGGAGAATTCTTCCAGCAGCTTACGGGTGACGGGGGCTCCGATGGCCTCAATTGGCTTTTCTTCCAAATAGATTTGCAAATCCTGAGGATGGTTTTGGAAACCGCTCAGGGTCAACTCATAGTGGAGATTGCATTCATTGTCAATGGATAGCCAGGCCATGCCCATGGCGTGATGGGGAGCCGAGACGGAGTGTTCAGATCTCTTTAGCAAAATTGGTTCAGCCGAGTCACGGGCATCGGCCACAGGTCGGGGTACCAAACGGCCTCTAATCAAGCTCGATTCCTGGTCCACAGCAATGTTAACACCCAAATCGCCGGCATACAAAGACTCAACGACCTTGGGTCCCAATTTATCCACAGTGCCAATGGCTTGATTGAAATTGAAACTTGGGGTCAAATCCTGCAAGACAGCCTTACGTTTGCCCATATCCTCAATTAGGCTAATTTCTGGATGATCGCGGGCATTCACCTGATCCGTTTCAATGTTATAGGCCAAAGAGCCATCGGTGTTGAGGAATACCCAGGCCAAACCACTGCTGTTGCTGGTGGTCTTGGCCTCGGCATTGTGGGGAGCCAATAGGGTTTGGAAAATCTCACAGGTGGTGCGGGTGACAATGTGGCCCTGGATACGTAAGTTGGGGTTCTTTTTGGATTCAATGGTGAGCAGCAATTTACCACGGGACATCAAACGCAGATTTTGTATGGAAATGGGTGAGGAGATTTCCAAGACATTAACCTCGGAGGAGGGTTTGCGCACCTTTTGTACCTCATCCAAAACCACTTCACGGCGATCGGGTGATTCAATGCGAATGCTAACGGGAGCATCAACATAATCATCGGGGGCAAAGACACCATTAAAGACCAGGGTCAAATGCATGGAAGAGGCAGCACCACTGCTGGTCGAAACAATGGCAGTACCACCGGAACCGGCAAGGATATCCGATTTGGAGCCAGGTGCAGGTTCCATCAAGGCGCTAAACAATTCCGATTGCAGTGCCGTGTATTTGCCAATTTTTCCCGCCAAAGCCAATTCAGTTTGGAATTTATTACCACCCCAGAGCAGGACAACATGAAGGCGTTCATCACGCAACAAACGTTTGTAGTCACGGGGTACACGACGCCACACACCACAGATTTTACCGGTGACATTTTGATAAATCGATTGGGGACCGGCAGGCAACTGCAATTGATGTTCCTCCAAAATGGTGCCAGCATCATCGACAAATTGTATGGCCCGGGGCCGGTTAACCTTCGATGAGGTATAGAAGGAGTAATACAAATTCTTCTTGTGGAACATAAAACGTCCGGTGGCCACAATATTATGGGGATTGTGGGTGGTGTACATCGATTTCATTTCTTCACCTTTCAAGAAGTGGGAAGTGCGGCCGGTTAGCAGGGCAGCGAAATCTGTAAAATGGGCGAGAGAATAAAATATTAGAAGGAAATCCGCAAAGTAAAATTTTTGGGGGAAAAACGAAATACTTACGTTTCATATTGCGCTCCTCTTCTTCCATTGGTGCCGGTACATCTAAGGCCATGGTGTCTGGAAAAAAAGAATAAATAAAATTAGAAAATAGTTTGGAAATGTCTTTTGTTTCTCGAAAAAAATTAAGGTCATAAAAATGTCAACACTTCTTGAATGAATGCGGCCTGGCTTTGGGTTTCCAAAAACTAAACCTCGTGGGACAAATAACAGGAAATTACCTTGCCAGAAATTCTATTCGTGAAGCTCCCACCTATGGAGTTATTGTCTTTAGGATTTTAACCTTGCTCACACTCACACACACAGCGGCCATTCTAGGTGTGTCCGTCTCTACCTTGGAAATGTGTGAATAGAGGAGGACCCTTGTAACACACACACAATCAACCATCCACAGATCGACACACGGACAGACAGACAACTGTGTTTGACATAATACCCCTAACAAGTTACCGCCTCTTGGCAACACCCTGCTGCTGTTGCTGCCGTTGTTGATGATGATGGTGCTACACGTGAGTTTTCAAAAACAACAACAACAACAATCGAAACAAAGATCCGTAAAACTGCCGTATAAAAGGTGGAGAGGAGCTGGTAATGAAAAATGTTACGGATCGGTAAATGATGGTAACAAGGTAAGAAGAGCAGCAGCAACAACAACAACACAACATTTTTTGAAATTCTTGGAAACCATTGTTGTCGGTTCGTTCCCGCTCAATGAAAAATGGTCGATGATGGGTTAAAAATGGACGACGCGAACGAAGTACACAGGTTGTTGTACCCAAATCGAACTCAAACTGAACCGAAAAAAACATAACAATGAACCATGTACAACAATAAAATTGGAAATTTTATGGAAAATCGATTACAAGAACATGGAAATTGAAAGAAAACAATTCTTTCAGAAAAAAGGTGATTGGTTATTTAGTTTATGATGGTGTACTGGCATGGCAGGGAGGAGGTAGTTTCTTTGTTTGGTTTTCTCTTGGCAAGGTGATGAAATAAATTTAAGCCGGATTTCCGGACTATGGAAACAAATAAAAAAGCGGGGGGATTCGAAATTCCAAGAACTAGTTTTTGAACTAGTTCGACATATTTTAAAACCAATAAATTTTCAATGAAAACATTTTTTAAAACTTTTTTTAAAGAAATTTCAAAATTTTCCCAGGTGGAGACTTTGAAAAAATTGAAATTTTTTAAAGAAATGTATTTTTTATGAATATTTATATAATAAAATGCTGAAAACCATCAAAATTTGAAAAGTCTCCAAAAGTGGAGAGTTTTCCAAATTTCACAAAAATGGGTTCTAAAGGCATAATTAATTGATTCTAAGCTATTTTAAAGATTTCCAATTGAAAAAATCAATAATTTGAAAGTCTACACAAGTGGAGAGTTTTGGAAAATTTTTAGAAAAATTGAATTTTTGAAAAAAAAATTATTGAAATTTGTTATATTATGTGTCTTATACAATGATTTTTAATGAAACTTAAATTTTTTTTTAACAAAAAATTAATTTTTTTTAAGTGGAGAGTTTTAAAATGAGAATTTTTTAAAAATCTTTTTACCACCAAAAACTTCAAATTTTCTTTGATTTTCTTTATTTATATAAAATCTGAATCATTTTTTAATACTAATTCTCCAAATTTTCTTAGAAAATTATGAATTTTTGCAAGTCTCCACTAGTGTAGAGTTGTTAAAAATGCACGAAAATTTTTTATTTTTATTTATTTGAGTTCCTTGTTTGATCCTATAACAAAATATGCAAAATTTGAAAAGTCTCCAAAAAGTGGAGACTTTTCGAAAAATGGCAAATTTCCATTTCTCCATTGTTTTTAGGTATTCCGAGGTCATTTTTAAACGATTTCAATGTAAAATTGACAATTTTAATAACTCTCCAATGGTGGAGACATGGGAAAATAAAGGAAATTTGGGATTTTTCTAATTTTTCTGAAAGTTTTATTAATAAAAAATAAATAAAATTATATTTCTTAGAGTTTTTTCTTATAATTTTTTGTGTTAAATGAAGATTTTGTTATTTTCCATCATTATCATGTTTGTTCTTGCTACTCGTGGTACATGTTTTTTTTGTAATATTAAGTATGTATTGTCTTCCCTGGTTCTGCTGCCAAGAGTTATTTCAAATATTTTAATATCTCTTTTAGTGCCCCTGTCCGCTCCCTCTCCCTCTTCTTTGCATTGTAACCATTAATGGTAATTCCCTTGAATTGTGGGTTGTCGATCGAACTCCACCAAGAAAACAAAAAAAATAAGGTTATTGCCTTGCCAGCCATATCATCAAACCTATAATTCAGCAAAGGAATTTTTCCTGCCATCCATAAAGGAAATTCATATGGGCTTTTCACTTTCGGACTACGGACTATTCGTACTATACTTGCAGATCATATGCTAGAGCAGAGATCATGATGATGGAGGTGCTCAGCTATTTGATCAACATGAACTTGTTTCCATAATAGGTTCTTCATGTTGTCGTCGTTGTTGTGGCCCGGCCATAAAATCCGCAGTGGTATAATATAACAAAAAAAAACAAGTTAAATCATAACCAACAACAAATAGTTGCAAAACTATGCAGCTATGGCTATGAGCTGCCGCACCACCATCACCTCCACTCCATGAGTTTGATGTTCATCATAATGGAGGGGGTTTGTAACTCTCCCAACTGAATAGTTGCAACTTGGCCACCAGCTCAAGTTGTGGTCTTGACTAAATATGACTTTAGAGCGCATTGTTTGTCCATTGGCCAATTTCGAAAAGAAATAGTCACAATGTGCTTCTACTGTTGAATTTTTATTTTCAGAGAGGGGAGAGAGGGGAATTTCCCCCCATTCTGACTCTATTTTTTTTTGCCCCTGTTTCCCTGCTTTGCCAAATTTGGCTTAGAAAAATATTCCAATTTTTTTTCTTCCAACCAAAAAAAGTCATTAAATTGTTTTTCTTTTCAAAAATAGTTGCCAAAGATCAGTGGTCGAAGTCGGAACCGTAGAAGCTTGGGGCAACTTGTGGCCAACAGAATTCCTAAAATTATTGTCAACAACATATTTAAGCCTTAAAAGACAACCAAACACACACAAATCATCATTCGACCATCATCATCATTTCCACTTAAGTATGTGGCGAGCATTTTAAGAAGTTGAAGATGGTGTGAGATTTAGAGAGAGAGAGAGGGTGGGAGAGGAGAGAAAAGTAGTGGGGGGAGAACAAGATGCTGCCTCATTGCATTGTCATCATTATCATTAAAATTAACACAGCAACTCCATGGTAGGTAGGCCGGCTCTTAACTTCTTTAGTTTTTAGTTACTTCAGATTTTCGTAATTTATGCCGGCCTGTCGTTTAAGGTCTCCTTTTGGTTTAATTATAGCCCAGTCAAAAGCAAAGGGTCTCCTCAAACGGAACACCATATAATACACAATAAATACTAATGAAAATATGTTTTTCATAATTTATCAGGCCATTGGTGTAATACCTTTTGCACTCTCTGCTTTGTTCTCTCCCTTTCTCTCGCTCTTATAATGACATAACTCGAGCATTTTAACGCTTATTAAATTATCTCATTTAAAGGAATTTCATGACGTCTACCTTTTTTTGAGGTCCACTGGATTCCTTGAAGGCAGAATATGCCGTATCATTAAAGATCTGAGGATTTTATTTTTTTCTTGGTCGGGACACAAGGGAGGAGGCGGCTTGTTTTGCCTTGACAACAGAGTAGACCCAAAAGCAAGGTAGTGAAAATGATGCTGCTGCTTGCTGATGATCTCAAATGATATGATGGCATGAACAGCGGGAGGGTCACAACACAGAAAACTTATCTTAAAGTGAGATCTGTATTTTATTGGCCTAAAATGTGTAGAACGAGAACGAACGAGCCAACGAGCCGATATGTGGCTGATAAATAAAAACGAGGCATACCAAAAACGGTTTCAAGAAAAAAAACAGCAAAAAAAAATTAAATGACCAAAAAAAACTGAATGGTCTCTTGAAAAAACAGAAATTGTTCAACAAAATTAACGGCTCCGCTTTTTTTAGGAATTTTTGGAATTTAATGACACCAAGTGCAATCGGTGACAATATTTTTTCGGATTTTCTTGGCTGATAAGGCCAGGAACCTCTCGAATGTTGTCTGTCGCTCTCTGGCTCTCAAATCTCAAGATAATAATCTTAACGACCAAAAAAAAAGGGCCAACACAAAGATTAAAAACAGGCCAAGTAATAAAATAAAAAAATAACAAGATTAAGCAGGAATCGTAGAATCTCAAATGACAAGGAGAAAAAGAAAATAAAAACTGAAAGTCAAGGAAAATAAATTTTTTGAAATAAAATTTCAGAGGAATTTCTTTGAAAAAAAATGTCTAGAGGAAAGGGGTAGGGGACATTAAAAAATAATGATTTTAATTAAAGAAAAATAACAACAACAACAAAATTTCAATAGAACACAAGAATAGAGATACTCAATTAAAAAAGATTAAAAAATATATAAAATTTAAAAAATTAATAATAAAAAAATATTTAAAAAATACTGATTTCAATTTAAAACAAACAATTTTCAAAACTCTAAACAGAATTTATTTCGAGAAACGAAATTTAAAAAAATCAAAATTTTCGATTTTTCCCGCAACTCTACACAAAGTGGAGATTTAAGACAAATCTCACAAAATTCCCTATATTGCATGAGAAATATTTGATATTAATGAAAATGCATTGAAATTTATAAAAATTTCATTTTTTGAAACTCTACAAAAAGTGGAGACTTTGCAGAATGTCCCAAAAATGCATTTTTTTGCATGGGGAATAATATTTATAAGCTTAAATATATAAGTTTTGCATTAAACAATTTTTTTTTCATTTTTTTTAAACTCTACAAAAAGTGGAGACTTTGCCGTAGGTTATAAAAATGAAGTTTTTGCATGGAGAACAACAAATATAAGGAAATTCAGACCTAAAAATATAATTTTGCATTTAAAAAAACTATTTTTCAATTTTTCTGGAAACTCTACAAAAGGTGGAGACTTCGCCGTAGGTTACAAAAATTAATTTTTTTTTAATTGGAAATAATAGATATAAGCAAATTTAGGCTTAAATATATTATTTTATATTTAAAAAATATTTTTTTAATTTTTTAAAAACTCTACAAAAAGTGGAGACTTTGCAGAATGTCCCAAAAATTCATTTTTTGCATGGGGAATAATATTTATAAGCTAATTTGGGTTTAAATAGATCATTTTTACATAAAAAAAATATTTTTTAATATTTTGAAAACTCTACAAAAAGTGGAGACTATGCCGTATGTTACAAAAATGCATTTTTTGCATTGAGAATAATAGATATAAGCTAATTCTGGATTAAAATATTAAAAAGTGTGGGTTTGAGAAACTCTACAAAAAGTGGAGACTTGCTAAAAATTTGTAGGAAAATAAAAATTATTGTAAAAATTCACAATTTGCCTAAGGAATAATAAATATAAGCATTTTTAAGCTTAAAATATTTAAAAATTGTGAATTTTTGCAACTCTCCAAAAAGTGGAGACTTGTTGGAAAATTAAAAATGATTACAAAAATGCATAATTTGAAGGAATAATAAATATTAATTAGTTTAAAATATAAAAAATGCGATATCTTGAAACTCTACAAAAAGTGGAGACTTGTTGGAAAATTAAAAATGATTACAAAAATGCATAATTTGCTTCAAGAATAATAAATTTAAAAATATGGAAGCTTAAAATATTACAAAAATTTTGAGTTTTTGCAACTCTACAAAAAGTGGAGACTTAACAAAAAATCATCCAAAAAAATTATTTTTTATACAGAAATTCATAATAAAATTTATAATTTAAAAAACAAGTTAAGATTGAAAATATTTTTTTTTAATTTTTACAAACTTTTCAAAAAATTTCAATTTTTTTTATAAAATTCTTAAATTTTTTATTTTTTTCTCCAAAGTCTACACTAGTGTAGAGTTACTAAATCTTTATGAAAATCCTTTATATTCATTGCAAATCATCAAAAATGCTTAAGAAATGTGAAATCGATGATTTTTCAAAAGTCTCCAAAAAGTGGAGACTTTATAAATTTTCGCAAAAATGCTATTTTTAGTTAAAATATCAACTGCCATTATGGTTTAAGTGATTTTTATGCAATTTCCTCAAGTCTCCACTAGTGTAGAGTTTTAAATAAATTAAGAAAATTAAATAAAATTTTGATTTTTTTTTTAATTTTGCTTAAAAATTTAAATAAAATTATAAAATTTAATGATGGTAAAAAAGTAAACGTTTTACTAAAAAAAAATTTTGTAATAAAATTAATTTTTTTAAAAATTAATTTTTTGGTAAAAAAATAATTTAATTTTTTTTAATTTAATTGTTTTTATTTGCTGTTGTATTTAATTTATTTATTTATTGTTTTTTTTTTTGTATTCCAACTTTTCTTTTTCTTTGCTGTGTTTTTATCTGTTTTTTTGGCTTCTATTTTTGTTAAGATGACGCCGTCAATATAATATGCATGTCTGTCTGTCTGCCTGTCGGTCGGTTTGTTCGCCTGTTTGATTGTATATACTGCTTATTATGTATGCTATTCATGCAGAAAATTACTTAAATCAAAATAAGGTTAATTTTTTATATTGTTGTTGTTGTTGCTGTTGTTGTGGTTGTTGCTTTTTGACTTCTACGTCTTGGCTTAGTTTTGTGATTTGCCACGGCTAGATAACTGAACATTCTTTTTGAATAATTTTTTTTCGGTGTTGTTGCTGTTGTTATTTTAGAAATATAATTAAAACAAAAATACCACCAATTTCTGGTGTGTGTGTGTTTGGACACTCTTCGTTTCAGGCGATGTAGTCATCATACTACTTCCAATATTATCATGGGGAAGGAGGGGAAGAGGAGGCAAAGCAGAAAAAACTGAACATCATAATGATTTGAGGATGATGAACGCTTGCTGGCTGGCTAGCGGACTGGGTGGCGTTTGAGGTATTGCACGGTGGAGGTGGTGATTGTGTCTGCATGATGATGATCATCATCATGATGCCGCCGCCGCCGCCACCATCAATTGACGTGGTATCTGGCTGGCTTTTTTTCTGTGGCAAAAAATACGCCAAAGAGATATGTGAGTATGTTTTTTTGGTTTCTCGTGCTTGCTGGTTTTATTTCGCTTAGCGTTTTATATATTTTTTTGAAAATGTTTGTTGGTATCTTTTTAATTTTTTTGGACGAAAAAAAAAAAAACTGGGGTATATTTTGGTCTTTATTGACCAGTAGCATTAAATGATGGCGACTAGTTTTTTTATTGGAAATTTTGAAAATTATTTAAAAAAATATTACAGCATCTGTTTGCTAAAATGCAGGCCTTAACAGGCCTTATTAATAATTTTTTTTTAATTTTTTATTTTTAATTTTATTTATTTTGTTTGGAACAATCCAAAAATACTTTCTTTTTCTATGTCATTGATTTTTTTTTTATTTTTTGCAAATTTTAAAAAAATAAATAATTTATATTTAAATATATTCCCCCCAAAAAACCCATAAAATATATTAAAATATGTTTATGGTTATCAGAGATGACAAAAATCTTTTATAAAATTTGCAAAATAATGTCTTAAATATATTAAAAAATATATCTAAAAAAATTAAAAAAAAAACAGCAAAAAAAGCAAAACAAAAAAATTGGCAGGATAAATTCGGACTACGACGAAGTAATGGATTGTAGTGTGGGGGCGTAAGTGTAAGTTTTTTTCGTTCTTCATTTTTTGGTTAAATCATTTTGATGTGTGTTCTCTTGTCTTGTTCTTCCTATTTTTTTTTCTTTTGGCTGGTGTCTGGGTTGGACTAATCTATAACAGGCAATTTATTTTGCCATGCCTGAAATATTTTATGATTTATGTATAGCGGATTTTTTGTTGGTGGAACAAGTTATAAGAGGCATGTTATTGGAATGAGAACAGGCTAGACATACATATATATAAACAGCTATAGCTTTGATAGATCTACAGATCTTTAGTTATGGCTAATGTCCATCACATGACGACGACGACGAAGATGATGATAATAATGATTCATTCAAGAAAAGCATGAGATTTTTATTTCTGAATCTTTTTTTTATAAAAATAATAATAAAAATTTAAAATAGTTTAGGAAACTTACCATTTTTATCACCGGGACATGTTTTGCAACATTTACCGGGCAGCAAAATTGGATCATCGCACAAAGCTGGTGGACATTCATTTTTTATGTTGCGACATTGGACGCGAGCCACAATGCGGCGTTTTTTGGGAACCTAAAAGACAACAATAAAAAAATTCAAACAATTAAAAACAAATGTGATTTATTAAAAATAAAAAAAAAAATATATAAAAAAAATAAAACTATGAAATGAATTTTTTTTGGAAATAAAAAATACATAATTCTAAAAATGTTTTATAAAAATTATTTTTTTAAAATTTATAAAAAATAAATAACAAAGTATTAATATGAAAATGTATTAAAAATTAAAAAAATATTTTTTTTTATTAAAAAAAAATAAATTCTTAGGAAATCCAAAAACGTTAAAAAAATAAATAAAAAAATTAATATGCTTAATTAATTTAATTTAATAAAAATTAAAAAAAAATTAATAAACAAATTTTAAAAAAATATTTCGAAGTTTTTTAAAATTAAAAAAAAATATTTTTTTTTAATAAAAAAAAATTAAAAAAAAATTATTTCGACTTTTTTCAAAAAAAAAAAAAAATTATTTCGACTTTTTTCAAATTAAAAAAAAAAATTTTTTTTAATAGAAAAATTTAAAAAAAAAATTATTTCGACTTTTTTTAAAATTAAAAAAAAATATTTTTAATTTTAAAAATGAAATGAACATTTTATCAAAAAAAAAAAATATAATTTTATGTAATACATATTTTTAATATATTTTTTTTTAATTTTAAAAAACTTCGAAATATTTTTTTTACTTTTTTTTATTAACATTTTTTTATTAAATTAAATTAATTAAGCATATTAATTTTTTTTATATTTTTTTTTTAATAAAAAAATTTAAAAATTTTTTTTTCGAATTTTTTTAAAATTAAAAAAAAATATTTTTAATTTATAAAAATTAAATGAACATTTTATAAAAAAATAAAATTTTATAACACATATTTTTATATATTTTTATAAAAAAAACATTTTTTTTATAAAAAATTAATAAATTAAATTAATATGAAAATTTTATAAAAATTTAAAAAACAAATTTTTTGTAAAAAAAAATTATATAAAAATATTTGAAAAATAAAAAAAAATATTTGAAAATTTTCTATAACAGTTAAAAGCAAATATTTTTACATAAAAAATAAATAATTTTAATATGACAATTTTATAAAAATTAAAAAAATATATTATTTTTCAAATAAAAATGACTAAAAAAATTTCTAGAAAAATTAAAAAAAAATATTTTTAAAAAAAATTTAGTTTTTTAAATAATATAAAAAATATGTTTTTTTAATAAAAATAAATAAAGAAATTATATAAAATTAAAAAATTGATTTTTTGTAAATAAAAAAAATTATAAAAAGATTTATTATATAAAAATCTAAAAAAATATCATTTTTATATATATATATATATGTTTTAAATAGATTTTATAAAATAAAAAAAATAAATAAGTATTTTACATTTTTAATTTTTTTTCTAAAATTTTACTTAAAAAAATTTAATAAAAATATGTATTATATAAAAATCTAAAAAAATATAATTTTTAAATAATTTTTTTAATAAATTTTATAAAATAAAAAAAATTAAATACATACTTTATATTTTTAAATATTTTTTTCAAAATTTTACTAAGTCTCCACAAAGTTTAGACCCCATTAGTTGGCTTAAAAATATTTTTTTCCATCTAGAACTATTTTTTATTGATTAAAAATCAACTAGAAAACCTGTAGACACCAATTTTAAAAAGTCTCCAAAAAGTGGAGACTTTTTAAAAAACACCAAAATCGAAATTTTTCTTAAGAAATATTAATTCTAAGACCACACCAAGTCATAAAAACTAATTCTACACACTTTTAGAAACTCTACACAAGTGGAGACTTTTGAAATATTTTCAAAATTTTAAAAAAAAAATTTTTTTTTGAAAAAAAATTGAACATAAAATGCGATTTATGTGACAAATTTGCTGAAAATTGTTAAGCCTTTTTTTAATATATTTTTTATTAATAAAATAATTTTTTATTACCCAAATGGATTAAAGGCTTTATATATATATATATATATATATATATATACAATTTTATGTCAAATTCTTTACATTTGCGTGTTAATCAATTTTTGATTAATCGACAGTTCTTTTTTTCTTTTTCTATTTTTTTTATTACCCTAAAGATGGTGTCCCATATTTTTTATGTTGTGTGCCCGAACATGCTTGTTGTCTGTCTGTTGCTGTTATTTCTAGTGTTTTAATTACCTCATAAATTATTTGTTAATTAATTAGAGAGTGTAAAATAAATATCAAAATGGAAATTTTGTGCGAAACAGTTCCAATTTTGATATTTTTTGCGTAGAATGCATTTTTTGAAATATTAATAATTTTTTTTGCAGAATTTTTTTTTTTCAATAAGGTAAGGCTGCATAAAAGACTTTATGGCATCAATTAAATAGAATTGGCTGCCATTTGATTGTGATTTATATATGTATGATGTGTATATATGTATTAATATTTTTTCTACTGACGTATTGTGTGTCTGCTGCGGATTGTTTTTTTATTTTTTGCCCAGCCAGCCAGACAAAATAAAAATGAAAATTATTTTTTTATTTTCAATATTTTATTTGAAGAATTTGCGTAATTTCAAAGAAAAGCAAGCAGGCGAAAAAATATGTTTTGTACGTCTCAATAAGTTATTAATCATTGAACAAACTAAGGCGACAAGTAGCGTACGCAAACCTAAGCTTCTTTGGTATTTGTTTTTTGTGCATACTATGAAAATTTGCCTGCTGTCATGTTATTGTTTGGCAAAATAGATATTCCTTTCATGTAGACCAGGCCAGACGACGAAAAAAAAAGCAACAATCAACATGTTCGTAATAAAAGACCTTTAAAATTGTCATTAATCATTTTTGGCAAATGAAAAAACAGGCATTGGGGGGAGAAGTTTGCACTTTTTTTGCAAAAAAAAACAAATTTTTCCAATATTTTTTGGAGAGAAATATTTTTTTTAGTTCTCTTAAAATTTATTTTTTTCCTATTAAATTTTTATTTTTTACGATTTTTTTGAAAAAAAAAAATATTTTTTTCCAAAAATTTCCAAAAAGTCTCCATGAGTGGAGACTTTTTAAAAGTGCTTTATTTGAGTGCAAAATGTTGTTATTGTCTAATTTAAGTTGTTATATAGCATTTTCCGTTAAGACAATTTAAAAATTTGAAAATTTTTTCAACTCTCCAAAAGTGTAGAGTTGTTAAAATCTTGAAATAAATGTTGTATTTTTATTGAAAATGTCTTATTTTATTTATATATGGCCTAAAATAAGATTTTCCATTAATTTTTTTTTTCAAATCTGAAATTTTTTCAACTCTCCAAAAGTGTAGACTTATTAAAAGCTAGTAAAAAACTCTGTTTATATATTGAAAATGCTTCAGTTCACTTATTTACTTTTTAAACTGGCATTTTCCATTTTAAAAAATTAAAAATGTTCGAAATTTCTCAAACTCTCCAAAAGTGTAGACTTATTTAAAACTATTAAAAAACGCTGTTTTTATATTTAAATTATTTTATTTTACTTATTTATGTTTTAAAATAGCATTTTCCCTTTTTAAAAAAATTAAAATTTTCGAAATCTCTCAAACTCTCCAAAAGTGTAGAGTTATTTAAATCTTAAAAAAAATTGTGTTTTTATTTTGAAAATATTTTATTTTACTTATATACCGATTAATATAGCATTTTCCATTTTAAAAAATTAAAATTTTCGAAATTTCTCAAACTCTCCAAAAGTGTAGACTTATTAAAAACTTGTAAAAAAGGCGTTTTTATATTGAAAATGTTTTAATTTGCATACTTATGATTAAATCTATTAGTTTTCCTTTTAAAATATGAAAATTTTCGAAATTTCTCAAACTCTCCAAAAGTGTAGACTTACTAAAAACTAGAAAAAATTCTGTTTTTATATTGAAAAAGTTTTTGTTTACTTATTTATGTTTTAATATGGATTTTTTTTAAAAATTTAACATTTTCGAAATTTTGTCAACTCTCCAAAAGTGTAGACTTTTTGAAATCTTAAAAAATGCGGTCATTATAAAAAAATAAATATTTTAATATGCATATTTATGTTTAAACCTATTATTTTTTTTCTTAAAAAATTAAAATCTTCGAAATTTCTTAAAATCTCCAAAAGTGTAGACTTATTAAAAACTAGTAAAAACGCTATTTTTATATTTAAAATGTTTTATTTTACTTATTTATGTTTCAATATTGTATTTTCTCTTTAAAAAAAATGAAAATTTTTGAAATTTCTTAAACTCTCCAAAAGTGTAGAGTTATTAAAAACTAATAAAAACGTAGTTTTTATCTTGAAAAAGTTTTAGTTTACTTATTTAAGATTTAAAATAGCATTTTCCATTTTAAAAAAATAAAATTTTCGAAATTTCTCAAACTCTCCAAAAGTGTAGACTTTTGCAAAACTTCTAAAAAATTCTGTATTTTTATATAAAATATTTTATTTTACTTATTTGCGTTTTAGTAAAGCATTTTCCCTTTTAAAAAGGTAACATTTTTGAAATTTCTCAAACTCTCCAAAAGTGTAGACTTATTAAAATCTTGTAAAAATGTTTAATTTTCCTTTTAAATGTTATATTTTAATTAGTTATGACTTTAAAATGTAAAATTTCACATTTTTCAAAAGTCTCCAAAAAGTGGAGACTTTTCAAAAAATTGGCAAAAATGTAAATTTCAACAAAAATAATGGCTTTTAAAGCGGGTTTCATAAAATAAATTGTAATATTAATTAATTATAAGATATAAAGAAACATTTTTTAAGTGGAGACTTTTTTGAAATTTGGGAAAAATCGAAAAAAAATGAAAAAATATTTGTAAAAAATTGTGTTTACTTACCGCCACACATTCACATTTAATGCAATACATAACACCAAATGGTGGTCCCAAATCGGCATACCATGTTGAACCCAATTCCTTGAGGGTCTTGCCAAATTGACATTCGGATACTGTAAAAAAAGGAGAACAAAATATAAAAAATTAGAAAAATTGAAAAAAATTTAGAAAAAATACGTAAAGTAAATAATATCGAAATTACTGAACAAAAATTGTAAATAATCATTAGGGCTGTTTGTTTTGGGTTGTCGAGTTTGTTGTTGTTATTTTGTGTTAAAGGTATATCATTAAATAGCATCCCGCTGTTGTGGCTCTTCTTTGAAGTTACCACAGAACAATAAAAAAATTTAAATTTCTATTTTTTTGAAGAATTTTTTTTACACCTCACAATGAAAAAAGAATTCAAATGACTGACCCATCTTGGCCTTTTCTTTCATTTATTAATGAAGTATATTCATTCAAAAAACGAATTTCCATATTACATGGAGTTCGGTTTCTTGAAAGACCGCCCATGTGTTTCAAAGGAGTTTTTTTGTATGAAATGCATCTCCCCTCCCCTCCTCGCCTAGTTTTGTTTTATGATGAGTTTCAGGGCTTATTTTATGATTATTTCCTCTCTGCTGTTAATTAAACTATAAAAATGAAAATAGAAAAAACCTCTCCCCCTTCCTCCTCCTCCTTTTTTCCCCAGAAGTAACAAAACAAAACAGAAACGTTTATTTAATGCGGTTTTATGTGGCCTGATTGTTTTTGTTGTTGCTGTTTTAGCCCCCTACAAAAACTTATTAGACCTTAAGACGTCGGGAAATTGCATTGGGTGTGTGCTGGGGTGTTTTGTTGCTGTTGTTGTTGTTGCTTTTGTATTTATTATATTATTTTCATTCTCATTTTACCGAAACCTTATAAATGCTCTGTATTTAATTTGTTGTTGTTGTTGTATTGTGTGAGAATCTATAACAGGTAGATATATATATTTTTTTATTTAATTTAGAATACAATTTTTGGTATACAGAAAATATTTTTTGTTGTTGTATAAAAAGCCAATGACCATTTTTATATATTTTTATTATTTTTTTTGTAACTTTACATTAAATAAAATCCACATTCATTAAAATGGATATATAAGGCGCCAAAACAAAAAACTTGATCGGCATGCCATTACAAAAAAAAAAAAACTGAACTGGCCAAAAACGCACAACCCGCCAGTCTGGCGTTTAAAATTGCATAGCCAGCCAATATTTGTTGTTGTTGTTATTTTTTGGATAAGGCCTGATTTTCATGAATGAAAAAGGCCAGAATAAAAATTTCCAGTTTCTTTGTGGAATGAAAAAAAAATAATAACAACAACAAAAAATAATAAAATCAACAACAACCAATGAGAGAAACATGATTAAAGGACATAAAAAGAAAAATAAAAAAAGGAAGGAAAGAGGAAATAAAAAAAATAGAATTTTTCAAAATTAAAAATATTCTACTAACATAAAAAGGGAGAGAGGAGGACATACAAAAATTTCAAAAAAAAATATTATTTGATAATTTTTTTTTTTGACAAAAAAAAAATCTAATGAAATGTTTAAAAATTATAAATTTTTTAATAGATAAAATAAAAAAGGTTTAAAAAATTATAAGTTACATTTTCAACAACAAACAATTTTTTTTTTTTTAAAAAATTTTGAAAAAAAAATTAAATAAAAAGTATTCTACTAACTTAAAAAAGGAGAGAGGAGAAAAAAATTAAAAAAAAAAATAGTTTCCTTTTTTTTTGAAGGGAGAAAAAATTTTTTTGATAAAAAAATATTTTTTTAATGAAAAAAAATATTTAAAAAAATCAAAAAAATTTTTTTTAAAAAATAAAATAAAAAAGGTTTAAGAAATTATAAGTTATATTTTTAATAACAAAAAAAAATGTTTTTTTTAATGAAAAAAAAAATTTGAAAAAATTAAAAAATTTTTTAATGAAAAAAAAAATTGAAAAATTTAAAAATTTTTTTAATGAAAACAAATTTGAAAAAAATTATTTTTTTTAATAAAAAGAATTATAAGTTATATTTTCAATAAAAAATATTTAAAAAATTATAATTAAAAAAAAAATTAAAAAAATAAAAAAGGTTTAAGAAATTATAAGTTATATTTTTAATAAAAAAAAAATATTTTTTTTATGAAAAAAAATTTGAAAAAAAATCAAAATTTTTTTAAAGAAAAAAATTAAATTTTTTTAATGAAAAAAAAAAATTGAAAAAAAATATTTTTTTTAATAAAAAGAATTATAAGTTATATTTTCAAAAAAAAAAGAATATTTAAAAAATTATAATTTAAAAAAAAATTAAAAAAATAAAAAAGGTTTAGAAAAATTATACATTATATTTTTATTAACAAAAAATATTTTTTGAATAAAAAAATATATATATATATATATATATATTTTTTTTTAATAAAAAGAATTATAAGTTAGTTGTTTAATAACTAACAAAATATTTTATTTTTTAATGAAAAAATATATTTAAAAAAATAATAATTTTTTTAATAAATAAAATTAAAAAAAAATAATAAAAAAAGGTTTGGAAAAATTATATGTTATATTTTTAAAAACAATTTTAAAATATTTTTTTTCATAAAAAAAATTGAAAAAAATTATAAAATTTTTTAAAAAAAAAAATTTTTATAATTTATAATTTTTTTTAATAAATAAAATACTAAAAAATTTTTTTTTAATATTATTTTTTTAATGAAAAAAATATTTTTTTTTTTTTAATGAAAAAATATATTAAAAAAATAAAATTGAAAAAAATATTTAAAAAAATTATAGGTGATATTTTGATATTTTTAATAACAAAAAAAAAACATTTAAAAATTACAATTACGCCCACAATTGCCCACCGATCAACCAGCCAGCCATGTGATATCTTTTTAATTAGTCATTTAGTGTAAATAAATAAATAATAATAATTTTTTTCTAATATTATATATAAATATGCAAATTTCTAGTCATAGTTTATATGACAGTTTTTTTCTTCTTCGTTGTTGTTGTTGTTTTTAATTTCAAATAAAACCCTATAATTTATGGGAAATTTATGTTTGTACAGCCAGCCCAGCTACTACTACTAACTATATGGGGTTTTCAACAACAACGTAATATTTTGTTGTTGTTGTAGTGAATATTTTTTTTTTTTTGCGTTGCAACTTGTATGTGAAATGGCATTTCAAATATTTGTGTAAGCAGCAAATAAGAATACGAAAATGAAAATTTGCAAAAAAAAATTCATTTGGGCGCCACCATTTAATTGTGAAAAAATTACATACATACAAATAATTTAATGAAATTTTTTGAATTTGAATTTTTGTGTAATTTGAATTTTTAAATAAAATTTTATTTTAATTAAATTAAAATGTTTGAAAAAATGTTACTTTTTTCTATTTTATGTTTTTTATTTATTTTTACTAAAAAAAACTAAAATATTGGCTACTGTTTTCCTCCAAAAAACCGCCTCCACACATGTCTGGCCCAAAACGTTTTTATATATTTTTTTCATTGTGTCTAGAGAAAATGTTATTGTTTTTTGTTTTTTAAGACAAGTCAGGCCGGCGTCGCGCCAGGCCCGTTTTTGTGTATTTTTATGTTTTGCCATTTCAATATTGAGGTCGCCAAACTGACAGTTGTTGAATTTGATTATTTCTTGTTGTTGTTGTTATTCTTCGTATTGGCTTATATAGTGCATTTTTTTCGTTGTTTTTATTTCAACACCTCCAACAAAAAAATATTTGCAAAAATTGTATTTTTTTGTTTGTTTTTTTTTTTTTTGTTAATAAATATTTATGTTTATTATTTAAACATATATTTATTTATTATTGTTGTCAATGCCTCCTGAAATCAATAAGCTACTGGGCATTAGGTTTTTCAGATTATTTATTTGAGTTTGTTGTGGGAAGAATCGTAAACATAATTTTTTGTTGGGCAAAAAAAAAAAAAAATAAATAAATGAAAAAAATTTAAAAAAATAAATAATGTGAAAAAATGTGGGAATTTCGAGAAAATATTTTTTATAAAAATGAAAAAATATTTTTATAAATAAAAAAATATTTTTATAAATAAAAAAATATTTTTATAAATGATAAAATATTTTTATAAATTAAAAAATATTTTTATAAATAAAAAAATATATAAATAAAAAATATTTTTATAAATTAAAAAAATATTTTTTTATAAATAAAAATATAATTTTTATAAAACGAAATATAGTTTTTATATATAGTTTTTATATAATGTGAAAAAAATGTGGGAATTTATAGACAATATTTTTATAAAAATGAAAAAAAATATTTTTATAAATAAAAAAAATATTTTTATAAATGAAAAAATATTTTTATAAATTAAAAAAATATTTTTATAAATAAAAAAAATTATAAATAAAAAATGTTTTTATAAATTAAAAAATATTTTTTTATAAATAAAAATATAATTTTTATAAAACGAAATATAGTTTTTATATATAAAAATATATATTTTTATAAATAAGAATATAATTTTTATAAATAAGAATATAATTTTTATAAATAAAAATATAATTTTTATAAATAAAAAAATAATTTTTCTAAATAAAAATATAGTTTTTATAAAAATAAATATAGTTTTTATATATACAAATATGATTTTTATAAATAAAAATATAATTTTTATAAAAAAAAGTATTTTATAAATAAAAAATATTTTTATAAATAAAAATATTTTTATAAATGAAAACATAATTTTTATAAATAAAATAAATTAAAAAATATTTTTATATAAAAAAAAATATTTTTATATATAAAAAAATATTTTTATAAATAAAAAAAATATTTATAAATTAAAAAAAAATATTTTTATAAATAAAAAAAATATTTTTATAAATAAAAATATAATTTTTATAAATAAAAATATAATTTTTATAAATAAAAATATAATTTTTATAAAAATAAATATATATTTTTATATATAAAAATATTATTTTTATAAATAAAAATATAATTTTTATAAATAAAAATATAATTTTTATAAATAAAAATATAATTTTTATAAATAAAAATATAATTTTTATAAATAAAAATATAATTTTTATAAATAAAAAATATTTTTATA